CAGTGAGATTTCTGACTGTCCCAGGCCCAGCTCAGAAGCTTCCCTTCGACTTTTCCTCTTCCCTCAGGAAGGTTGCGGGTTGCAGTGCATCCTCTCAGGAAACTCTCCATGGTAGGTTATAATAGGTACTAGAAGTTAGCAACAGGTCCAGGGTTACCCAGTGAGGTTTATAGCAGAGTTCGGATTTGAATGGATGCCTCCCTGGTCAAAGTTCATTACTCTACCCACTTACTCTCAGTGAACAGCTGGACATGCTATGTACCCCAGTGCTCGATGCTAGCAGAAGCCCTGACCTTTTGTTTGGAAGTTACTGAGGTGCAATATATAAAGCGCTTTTCATGGCCCCCGAGGACAGGATTTTCTCAAAAGTCTGTGTTGGCTTTTCTAGGCTTACTGACTCTCACCTTAATTGGGCTGTTTCTCTCCAGTCAGGGGGGGGAAATACACTTGATCTTTTGCTGTCAGTGCTGTCACTCCTTAAAGCTGTAATTCCCCGTTATGATTGCTGCTTAGTTTCCACACCCTTCAATGCATAGTGGTTGACAGATTGAAGCTCTCTGGGCCTGCAGGGAATACAGCTTTATTAACCACTTGAGAGAGAGCTCATTGGAGTGAAGAGGATGATCCGGAGGCTCTAATCTAGGCGTCCTGTTGATGAAGCCTTGCAGTCTTGCTGAATTGTCTGTTGTGCTGATGTATTGAGGTGTCATCACACCGTCACAGTGCAAACGTAGTTGCGTGTTTCAGATTCCTACGAAACACTGAACTTGAAGCACTGCTGATCTGAACTCGGCACTCGGTAGCTAATAGCATGTTTCTACTAATTCATTTCACAGCTTCTCATTATATGAGGCAGGCCTGTACTGGTCCTTCAGCAAGTTAAAATTATCTCCCCTTTTGATTATTAATGCAAGTGTTCTTTCGTGGTGGTGAAGGTGAAATCAGGGTTTGGGATTCTACAGATGGCCAGGCCACCTGGATCTTCTCTTAGGGCCTGTTTAGTTGGTGTGCCATGAGCCAGGATTGCAAAACTATTTCAGTTTTCTGGAAACCGGTTCCACATTTTTATCACCTGCCCTGCTTGGACAGCAACTAAAAAGGACAAGCTAAAACGAGGAACGTGTAAAGGAGTCCAAACTCTGCCAAAACAAATGTAAACGGAGACGGTTGTAAGTGAAAGTAGAATAAGAAACGTCGTGCTGAATCACTAAAACAATAAACAATTACCTTTAATACACCAAAAGCAGAAAATAGGGAGCAAATTGGGACATTAGATTAAAAAGATGTGAAAAGATGACATACCGTATTTTTCCATGTATAAGACGTAGGTTTCCCCCCCTAAAAAATAATGTCCAAAATTTGGGGGCATCTTATACATGGGGGCCATCTCCCCCCATTTTCTTAAATCGGAGTCCCCCAAAATAGGGGGCATCTTATACATAGGGGCATCTTATAGACTGAAAAATACGGTAATTCGTATAAACAAAATCACTTTGCCGTCATTGGGAAATGGTTACTGGTGACATAATGTGCTTGAACTTTCAATGTATGCCACGCTATATTTTACTCACTCACTCACCCGCCCACCCATACCCCTAGTCCAAAGGGCTGCCACACAGTTTACAGTCTACAAAATTAAAATTGCACTGTTTTGCTTGTAGACCCAGACAGAAGAAAGCAGTGTTTCATTATACTCCAGTGCTAAATTACGGCATTTCTTATTCCCCTGAGCATAGGGAAAAAGAAGGGTTTACTAAGCATTACAAAACTGGTATTGAGAAAGTGCTTCTCCTTAGGAATTAGCACGCAGCCTGGTGGGCATAATGTAGTAATCATAGTATGTATTTCTGCTGTTGGTGCATGTAGTGTATGCACACTGGGAAGCTCCAGCTCATTGCAGCTGCCTGCCATATCTGTATGTAGCAAAATACATGGAATCATAGAACTGCACATGTATGTGATCGCATTAGTATTTACATGCTGGTTGCATGCCAGTTCCAGCTTTGTATTGCTTTTCATCTTGCAATTTCATAACGTTTGAAGCAGCCACAAGAGAATCAGCTGAACTGTGCCCTGCAGGAGCAACTTCTTTTGGTGTATGTGTGTGTGTGGGGTTAAGATCAGAGTACGGATTATGTTTGTTAAAGAGGCTTAGGAATTAAAAATAATGGTGGGTGCACTATGCTCCTTTGTAGGGAAATTAAAAACATAGTTGCTGATTAACCTGCACATCCCATTTTAATTATAGCCAGGCACAGCCTGTTCAGGATAGTTAATTTATGTGGGTTAGAGACCAGTGCAGCGCTGGCACATCTGCAAGCAATTTAATTTAATTTAATTAGCAAAATGGTGCTAGATTGGGCATTTGGCAATTGGGGTTTGGGATTGGCAGTACTATGGGCATTGCTCATGTCGGAAGACGGCACTAACAAAGTCTAGTTTCTCGCAGTTCAAAAATGATGCACGTACAGACAAGCATACAGAGAGAGACACCAGGTGGTTCTGTGAAAGCTTGGTTGGCTTTAATCAAAACGATTCATTGTGGAACAAGTCCCATGAATAATTCCCCATGTTTCTGGCACCAGCTTTGATCTGATTCGGAGTACACAAGGCACTTTTTAGATTACATATTAAAATTATATATGTGAGCTTTTTCGGCAACAGTTTTATCAGCTTGGATTGGAAAAGCAAGATCTTGAGCATCCTGTGTTGACCAAATAATATTTAGTACAGTTCAGGAATCGAGATATGTCTTTTTCCACATTTCTAGTCAGTCTCATCAAATGCAATTTGTAATTCCCAGGGCAAAGTTCACTTCCCCTGTTTATAACTGGTATAACACAGGCCAGGATTGGGTTTCTTCAAACAAATTTGATAGGCAATGCAGACGACAGAGAAAGCCTAGTGAATGTATTATGGGAAAAGTTGAATTTATAGATTAATGTATCCAGGGAAGGGATGCAGCATACTGGTAGATCTTACTTTTAGATTTAAAAGGTTCCAGCTTCAATCCCTGGCATCTTCTGGTGAGGGATGGAAAGGATTTGTGACTGAAATCCTGGAGAGATCCTGCGAGACAGGCCAGGCATAGGGAACATGTTCCTGGATTTCAACTCCCATAAGCCCAGCCAACATGGGCAATGGTCAGGGATGATGGGAGTTGGAGTCCTATACTATTTGAAGTGCCTCTGTTTCCCAACCCCAGTATAGTCCCTGATATAAAGGATCAGTGGTGTAAAGCAGATTTCTGAGCCCTTATGAGCACAGCTTTTAGATCATATAAAATATTACTGGTTTTGGTGGAAGATTTGTTATCTTGGCCCTTGGACATAGGACCCATATGGAAGGTTGCATTATGAACTGACCCTATAAGAGCTTATCTGCCATATGCTGGCTACTCTCTCCTTAGCCTGGTGTTATAGGTGCTTCGATAGGCAGTCCGGAAGAAGAAGCACAAACTAATGCACATGGACACAGTGTTTTCATTTCCCCGACAAGTCTGGCGTTGTCATCATGTGCTTAGCTTAAACTGTTGAACAAGCCACATGGCAAACTTCTCTCCCTGCATGGAAATGTTATTTGTTTCTAATATCCCCATGAAACTTTAATGTTCTGCATGTTTCCTGTAACAACACATGGCAGAAACATTTTTCTTACATATTGAACCTATGCTCTACTCATTGGCCGGTCAATAAATACCATACTTACTTTACCCTGTTCTTCTATAACTGCTCTCCTTCAATTTGGGCTTGTGCTCTTGCCACAGTTTCCTGCAGCTGAAGTGTTTATTAGCATGATGTGCCTGTGCTATGCTTTCCACAACTGTATCACCAGCTGTGTCATATCCTCTTATGAGTCATCTAAAGGGCTTCAAACAAAGCAATAAGGTGCATCCGTCTTCTTGAAGCCACAACTTAATCTTTGTAATCTGGCAGCTGAGCTCTCCTCAAATGTGATTTGCAGGAAGTACTTCCACAGCAGTGGCAAACTTAGAGGGCACATCTCTTTCTATGTCCAGATTTCCTCAGTTGTGGTTTTGCCTTGTTTGCGGTCAGGGGACCTGCATGAGCAAGAATGTGCTTTGCCAGGTTTTTGGTGAACTGAAAACTTTTACTTTTCTTTCAAACTAATGTGGAATGTCTTCTGTCTGCAATTTTGAGACATGCACCCTTACACTGAGGGGCATTGTTCACTCTCTTTGGAGTAGCGTATCTGTAAATTTATTCAGATGAAAACAATTCTGGTTCTTAACAAACCTTTGGCTTATCTGTTTGAAGCCATGGGTGGTGGTGGAATCACACAATCTGGTTTTGCTTTTTGGGGAGCAGTGGGGAAATAGACAATTGGGGGAGGGGGGACTGAAATGCAGGCTTATTTATCATCCAACCTAAACTTATTTGATTTCTCTAACAGCTTAAAATCTATCATTTATAGTAGCACATATTTGGCACATATATGAATTTTATGCTATGCACATCTACTCAGAAGTAAAATTCATTCTTTTTAGTGTAGCTTAACCTTGGGCAAGTGCCTAGGACTGCAGCATCAAAAAATGAATACTGTACTTTAGTTTTATACAAGCAAAATTGTGAATATACCCACTATTGGAAAGAAAGAAAGAATGTGCTACAAATCGTTGTACCCTATGCTATCTAAGTGGATATATATTAGTTTGTGGGTTTCTTTGTGATCTGCGGGCAGCACTGCAGAAATTCATAATTGATTTGGGTGTTGTATGTATTTAACACTGTACATAGTTTTAAGTAAAAATCTTTATACTGCCCATATTGAGTGAGCACAACCCCTTCTTGGGTGCATATTATATAGTATCTGAGAAAGAGAGAGGACCTAGCGGCTTTAAAAGTTTTAACTTCTTATTTTATAACAAAACAACCCCCTACCCAAAAGTATAGAGCAACCAAGTTGACTTCAATTCATAGTGTAAGTATGCTTTGCAAATGGTGTATGATGATGATGATGATTATGTTTTCTCTTGAAAGGAAAACGGCAGATCCATCATTTGGGGAACCAGCTGCAACTGAATCAGCATTGCCTTGATACAGCCTTCAATTTTTTCAAGATGGCCGTGAGCAAGCACTTAACCCGAGGGAGGAAGATGACCCATGTGATCGCTGCTTGCCTCTACCTGGTGTGCAGAACAGAAGGCACTCCACGTATCCTTTCACTGCTGCTTGAATATTTTGGGGGGCATTCCTTGGGCTGTTTGAGTGCTTAACTCTTCTGTGCTAATTCAAATATAAGTCCATTTTTGTACACTTTAGTCTTGTCACTCATCGAAGAAAATGCCAGGAAAACATTATGTCTTGAATAAAAGTCAATGGTGAAATTGGTAGGGATTGTCTGATTTAATCTATACAGTGGTGCCCTGCAAGACGAATGCCTCGCAAGACGAAAAACCCGCAAGACGAAAGGGTTTTCCGTCGCGGAGGCGCTTCGCAAGACGAATTTCCCTATGGGCTTGCTTCGCAAGACGAAAACGTCTTGCGAGTCTCGCCATTTCCCCCCCGCTTCCCCCCCTTTTTCAAAGCCGCTAAGCCGTTAATAGCCTTTTAACAGCTTAGCCGCTAAGCCGCTAATAGCGCTAAATCGCTAATAGCGCTAATCCGCTTAGCCGCTAATGGGGTTGCTTCGCAAGACGAAAAAACCGCTAGATGAAGAGAATCGTGGAACGGATTCTTTTCGTCTTGCGAGGCACCACTGTAGTTGAATAGGGTGCCCTAGCCTGTAGGGGAGGGGCATGAACGGACTACCCCCTGCCCCTTCGCATTAGATCAGGCCACAATATGATTATTCCACGTTTCAGGTCAGCTCACTGACTCTATGCACTGAGTGGGTTTTTTTTAAAAAAAAAAACAATTAATTGTGCCTATTTACTAGCTGTGTATGCCCTAAATCTCTTGATGCATGTGCTTTTTAAGGGTGATTGTCTCATGTCAAAATATAACAAATTATATTTGCAACAATACAGTGTGCAGGTAACTTTCATCTTAAGCGAGGGTTTGATTTGGGAGGTTCACTCGTAAATGCAAAATTGAATATAGCCAGGAACCTCAGGAACTGCCGTCCCCCCTTCCAAGATGGAGGACAGGGTCCCAGAGCCTGGTAAGCAAGGAGAACCCACTGGGTAGGGGTGGGGGTGGACAGTAAATAAATGGAGAGCAGGACCTCTCCATTTATTTATTTCACCCACCCATGCAAAACTGTGATGATGTAAGTAAAAGCAGCGTAAGATGCATTTCATCTTGATTAAAGCCAAAGCAGTCCTTTGAATCTTTCCACTCTGCTGAGCAGGTAAACTGTGTTTCACATTTTGTACCCATTTCCACCTTAATTTCATGATCCTGGTGTTCTTTTCTGGTGTACCACTTTCTTGGGAATGTTTAATTTTTTTCACATTAGTGATGTTTGTTGTTTTCGGCTTCCTGCTCGCGGAACAAACAAACGAACAAACAGTGATCTGGGGTTCATACCACATGACAAGCGCAATATGCAAACAAACCCAGTATATTGGATTCCTTCTGCTCCTTAGAATTTCAGGTCCGCATTGATAGAAGGAAATACTTCCTCAGGCGGGCCAGGAATGAGCATGTGCCTCCTTCAACAGAGCTATGCTACTTCTGTCCTCTGTTAGCCTGTTAGAATATTATGCAGTTTCCCTTATTATCTAGGTAATATGTTGTGTAAACCTTAGACTTTAAGACTTAGCTCAAGGGTGGTGAACCCTTTTAGCCCTTCTTGGGCCATGTTTGACAGGTGGGACATCACAATGGTGTCATGACTTGGCTTACCCATGGCACTTTGAAAAGTATGTGAAGTCAGGTGTGGGGCAGGCTGGGCTGAAACAGCCTCGTGGGCCAAATGGAGAGGCTTGTCAGGTCTAAGGAAGCCCACAGATCAGAGGTTCCTTGCCTTAGAGGGGGTAGCAGAGCGCAGTATTTGGGATAAGAATGAAAAAGAACAAAAATACTGAAAACCCAACATGAATCACAATATTTAAAGTAAACAGAAGATTAGATGAAAATGCATACGACAGTTCTGGCAGCAAATTGAGTGCTGAAGTAAGAGTTGAAGAAGGTTTCTTTAACCACAGTAGAGCAAAAAAAGGCAAGCTCCTGGCTGCAGAAATAGAAATACCCAACGTTCAGTATAAAGCTGCTTTCTTTTTAATGGTTTGCAGCAGAGCAACTATATAATATAATGAGAAACATGTTTACATTTTCAAAGGGCAAAAAAGGTTGAAGAGTATGTTAAATTAACATTTTCAGCATGTTCAAAGTTTAGCTCTCAAGAAAACGTTTAGAAAATGGAAAGAAATAGACAAAAAGCTCAACATAAGAAATAGATTAAAGTGTAGGGAGGCATCCAATGAAATAGTTCCCTTAGTGCAAGGATTTCCAGTTGTGCAACAGAACTTCATCTCCTTCTCCCTGTGTGACCCCCCCACCCTCCCCAAATTTGATCTTGAAGGTTGGTGGAAACCCCAGAACAGATTTATGGGCATATGGAGGAAACAGAGAGAGGGGAAGTTCTGTTCTACAGCCACAAGTCTTAGCACTAACAAAAATACTTCATTGCATACCACCCATCGTTTCATGATACTGGGTGTTGTTAGTATTTATTAAATTTGTATACTGCCCTTCACCCAAAGATCACAGGGTGGTTTACAACAGTAAAATAAAATGAGAACACAAAATCCATAATAAAACAAAAGCAAACCAATAACGCCCCCCCCCAAAAAAACGTATTTAAAAGGACGTAGAATGTTCAGTCAGCTAAAGGCCTGGTGATAGAGGAACGTTTATGCCTGGCCCCTAAAGATATGTAATGAAGGTGCCAGCCTCCCTGGAGGAAGAGTATTTCACAAACGGGGAGCCATTGGGGGGGGGGAAGGCCCCTTCTTGAGTTTAAATTTAGAAAAATGAAATGCCATTGTAAATAGTATTTGCAAATTGACTTGCATCTTCTGGTTCATGGTCTTTCTAAAGGAGCATTTAGGGCTAAACAAGAAGCCACCCCCTAATAAGGGAGATTTTTTGGTACAAAAGTTGTAGCAATCTGCTTTCAAGCGTGGGGGTGTGGGTGTGTGGGTCTTTTGAAAAGAGGGTTGCATTTTGCCAGTAATTTCAACATGATATGCAAATAATCTGGATATTCACTACCAGGGTTATTTTGCAAGTTTGTGGGGAATAGGGGGCAGTTAAAAAGAATATGATGGGGCGATGTTTGCCCTTTTTATTCTTTCATCAGCATAAATTGCTTCAGCTTTCCCCTTCTGGTTACCTTGACATTCGGCCCCCAGGACAACGTAGTATGTGTAAGAGACCATCTGGCACAGTGATCTATGTGGGTCTGTTACATAAGCTCAAGCAGTAACTAGAGTGGATAACTAATTTTGCGTATGTTGTCAGCCTGGGTATATTGGAGTGTTTTCACTTTGGTGGAGTTTCACTTAAATTATGTGCCTGCCCTTTGCTGGAGAGTTAGGCCCCTTCAATCCTACGAACAAGAACATGAGGTTATAACTGAAAGCAGTCCTCAAGAAGTTTTGTACTCTCCCCTCCCCTTTGTAATACTAAGTACAGAGTCAAAATTCCCTGCTGCCTGGGCAGCCAGTTGCATGGAAGCAGATCTGCATAGCTCTGCATTGACTATATATAGCTCAATGCCTTGCATGCAGAAGGTCCCAGGTTCAGCACCACGCCAGATAAAAGCATCAGGTTGCAGTGAGTGAAATATTCTGCTGGAAATTCTGGAGAGCTGCTGCTGGTCAAGAGTAGACAATACTGAACTAAAAAGGTAAAGGACCCCTGACCAATAAGTCCGGTCGCGGACGACTCTGGGGTTGCAGCACTCATCTTGCTTTACAGGCCGAGGGAGCCAGCGTTTGCAGACAGTTTTTCTAGGTCATGTGACCAGCATGACTAAGCCGCTTCTGGCGAAACCAGAGCAGCGCACGGAAACGCCATTTGCCTTCCTACTGGAATTTATCTGCTTGCACTTTTTTGGCGTGCTTTTGAACTGATAGGTTGGCAGGAGCTGGGACTGAGCAACGGGAGCTCACCCCGTCGTGGGGATTCGAACCGCTGACCTTCTGATCGGCAAACCCAAGAGGCTTGGTAGTTTAGACCACAGTGCCACCTGTGTCCCTTAATACTGAGCTAGATGGGTGAATAATTTGACCTGGCTTAAGGTTCCTATGAAGCCTCCTCCACTATCATATGCTTGTAGTGTTTGGTAACACACCTATCCATTATGTTTAATGAGATGCACATATGTGCATCAGGTGGCCCTGCTTTCAGGCTTTTAGCAGTGCCTAGACCTGGAGGGGTAGTGAACTCTATGGGGGATCACCACTCATGCACACAACTCCATGCGGGTATAGGTGAATTGTGAGATTTGGTCCTGCTAAGGGCAGGAAAGCTGTAGGTGCCTTGTCTGTCTTTTGAGTTTCAAGCCCCTTACAGGTCTGAATCTTAGAAGGAGAATCTTTGAATCTTGGTGAGCTGCAAAATCTCGTTCTCTCGCTGTATTGCATCTTGCTGTGGGATTGAATTTAATGAACTAGAAGTTCTTCAAATAAATGAATGCATAATAATACTGACCTGCCTTGCAAGCTTTTAAGGATCACAAAATGTAGATGTCTATGAATCTCTTTGGATATGTTTAAGTGCTAAGTATTCGTATATGATGATAGTGCAAAAAACCTGCACCAAGAGAAGCAGAATTCAATTACGGAAACTAAGCAACCCTCCTGCTCAATTTAGGAAATCTAGAATTGATCATCCCAAAGACATGACTGCCTAGCCTTTGCTTGAAGACCTCTGGCAAATGAGAGACCTCTAGCAAATGCAAACATTTGCAGGACGCTGAATAATATGCCCATACCAAATTATCTGCTACTTTTGCACTGGTGTGCTCTCAACCCTACATATAAATTGAGAGAGTCCTTCCAGTAGGGCAAAATGGAAGGCTATAGAATGACTTTTAACAGTAGACTTCTGTACTGCTCTTTAGATTAGCCATAGTTGAGCTGGAATTTGTCACAACATGCAATGCACATTGTGTTTGTGTGTGTGCATAGATGAAGAATATAATTTTGCCAGATAATACATAGCAAGAAATCAGCTCTTATTTAGTGTGGTGTTTACTGATA